GCCAAGGCAGACTCCAGGTTGGCCGCATCTTCAAATTTTTGGGCCCTCGCTTCCTCTACCTCGGCTCTAGCTCCCTTCAGCTTCTCTATAAGGGAGGTCATCTTCTTCTCCGAGGACTGGGTCCTCGTTTGAAAGTCAGAAAGGGCCTCCCTGCACTCCAGTGCGAGGCCAAAAGTCCCCACACTTTGGCCCACGAGGGCCCTTATCAAGTCCGTGGCGTCACATGAGAAGGCATGCAACTGCCACCGATCCGTCCAAAATTTGTAGAAGCTTTCTATAGCACTTCGGATCTCAGGTGGTAGAACCTCTACCAAAGCTGGAGCCAGAACCTCCTCCCTTTCGGCAAGGAAGCTCGAAGACTTCCCTTGCATCCTCGCAGGCCTCTGTTTGGCGGCCTCATCCTCTGTCGCTTCAACTGTCCTCCTTGCAGCATCTTCCTTAGTCTCCTCAGCCTCAACTCATCGAACCATTTCAATCTTTACCGCTTTCGAGGTGGCTTCAAGGAGTTTCGGCTGAGTGACTTCTTTGCCTTCATGGGACACAGAGGTATTGAACTTTCCTGACAAGCTGGTGACGTGCACCAACTTCCTCTTCTTTTGCTCCTCGGGGACCTTCTCCTTCCCCGAGGTTCTTTGGCCTTCTCTGGCCTCTGAGGTGTTCCCTTTCGGGAGCTCTTGAACTGCTGTTCTTAGAGAGGTGCTCGACCCTGCCCCAAACCTCTTTGGCACCAGTCGACCTCGGCTTCAGGGGCCTCACCTTCACAGTGGATGTGGCCCTAAGTATAGAGGCCATGTCAGGGGTTGGGTATTCTCTCCTCTTGAACTTGTCTGCAGAACATGTCAATGCATCAGTATCAAAACAAAAAGCAAGAAATACACAAGTATAGGAGCTTCTTACCCTTGGAGGCCATCAATTCAAAATCAAGGAAATAGCGATTTTGGTCGATGAGGTGGTCGAAGTGGCGAAGTTTCAGAGGTCTCTTGTAAATGTCCTCTATCACTTCAAACTCCTCCTTGCTCAACTCAAACCTCGTACTGCTATCTATAAAGGAAGCTCAACAATTAGAAAAAGAAATTTGAATACAGAATGCAAACTACTTAGGTTGGGAGACTCACGAGCTTCGTAGTACTGGGTCGATACTGTGCAAGCCAGGGGACAATGTCCCCCTCCATCGCCTGCCACCTGCCCTTCACCCAGAACCACAACTCCTTCCACCCCTTAATAGAAGAAGGCATCCCCACCACAAATAGTGTATGAGCGCCCCGAGGAGTTAAGTAATGCCACCCCCTTGACTCCTTACCTATTACCCAAGCTGGAATAGGGCCATAAAGACGTGGAGAGGCATGTCCTCCCCAAGTGACACTTCCTTCCATAGGAAGTACGAGCCAACCAACTGGCTCCACCCATTTGGCAGAACCTGAGTCGACGACAACATAATGTTCTTCAGCAACGCCCTGAAGAAGGGGTGTAGAGGAAGATACATACCTGCCTTAAATAGGTACTCGCTCACCGTCACGCATCCAGGCCTTGGATAGCAGGCTCGCTCATGGGCCTCGGGTACTAACATCGCTACATAATGAGATACACGGTACCTCTCCCTAATCTCCCCCAGCCTCTTCCATGTCATATTCGAAGGGACTCTAGATGCCCCCACTCTTCTCTGTAGTCTACTGCCTCCTCGGTTATAGCATACTATTCAACCTCGGAGTCCCCCTTGGTAACTAGCCCCCTGACCGAATGACGCGACAGTGACCAACTCCATACCCGAGGTGGACTTCATTTCAGAAAGGGACTAAGAACGCAATATAAGGGATTTTCTGTGAAAATACCTATGGGAATAACTATGCCAACGAAATGGTGTCGAAAAACCAGGGAACAAACAACTTCAATGCCGAAAAACTTAAGCTTTGGAAGAAAAATCAGATTGCAAAGGTAGAAAATCCAGAAAAATGGGGGTCTCTCGCCTTTTATAAAAGGCCAGGACAAACCCCAACCGTCTGATCAAAGCCCATCCATTCTGGACCCTTCATTCCAAATCAAATTCGAGGCGTAGAATTCAAACGATTTTTCAAACGTATGCCTCAGATTTAAGCGTGTCTCCCATGCACCTCCCCCAACGCGTCTGCTTTTAAAAGCTCCAGTTGTTTTCATGATTACGACTTTAATTCGACGGTAGCAGACGCCTTGAAAGTTGTAACGGCTCAGCCACCTTTGCTCGAAAACATGCGCAAAATATCAAATCATTGGCACAACTGTCGAGGAACAATTATTGTCAATGTGCCTCAGATTTCAGCCATCAAGCCTCGCAGGTTCGGTTTCCACCAACCACCTCGGCTTCCTCTTCATCATTCAGCCATAAAGTCTCGTAGGTTCGATTTTTCAAACCACCTCGGCTTCCTCTTCATCATTCAGCCATCAAGCCTTGCAGATTCAGTTTTCACCAACCACTTCGGCTTCCTCTTCATCATTCAGCCATAAAGCTTCGCAGGTTCGATTTCCCAAACCACCTCGACTTCCTTTTCATCATTCAGGCATCAAGCATCGCAGGTTCAGTTTCCCAACCACCTCGGCTTCCTCTTCATCATTCAGTTATAAAGCCCTGCAGATTCGGTTTCCCAACCACCTCGGCTTCCTCTTCATCATTCAGCCATAAAGCCCGATGGGTTCGATTTCCCAACCACCTCGACTTCCTCTTCATCATTCAGCCAAAAAGCCTCGCAGGTTCGGTTTCCACCAATTACCTCGGCTTCCTCTTCATCATTCAGCCATCAAACCTCGCAAGTTCGGCTTTCAACCACTTCCGTTTCCCTCCCTTTCCTGCTAGGATTGGAAATCCTGTATTTTACATATCCATACGATTGAGTCCTCCTCAGCAGAACACCATAGCACATTTCTAACTCCAACCATGATATGAATATCTATACTTGGACTTGGGGGACTATTATTTGGGGTTCAAAAATTTCTTTCGATTTAACCAATTGACTTTACTTCACCGAAGTCCTCGCATTACATAAATGACTATACTCAGACTTGGGGGAGTATTGTTACGTGTTTGCACACTTGGAAAACCTACCGGGGCCCATAGCCAACTCATGCCAAACCACGTGGCACTGGAGCCGAGATGATTTGCATAGATGAGGCCCTCCAACTGAGGTCGACAGATGCCTATGCTATTATATGTCGAGGCCCATATACCGAGGCCATGTGAAAGTAGCCGAAGCCCTGAAGCCGAAGCAGAAGCCTCCAAACCATAAAGGAGCATCTTCCATGATCACTTCTCCCAAGAAATCTTCTGCATAAAGATCTTACTTGAATGATTGATAGGATGTTTGTCATAAGTATAAATGTTAAGTCTTATCACTGGTATGGAGGTTCTGCATAGGTAATAAATGCTCAGCAAGCTAGCTAGTTAAAGATGATGCCTAGTATTAGACGTTTAAGCTAAAGAGATGAGGTCACGTGCCACCTCATCCAAGGGCTACCATTTCACATGTACCACTATAAATACTCTCACATGTACCCCATAGAAAGGCTAATGTAAGAATCAATACAAGAAACCACACTTTACTCTTTCTTTCTTATTATCTTGCAACACAATACGAATTTACGCATATTTACATACACATTCACAAATATCGATTGGTAATTATTGTACAATCGGTCCACAAACAATCCCGTCGAATTTCGAATGCTCTCATCCGGCGCCGTTGAGCTACTCCCACGCCCTTGATCTTTCCGTTTTAGACTGTTTACGTGTCTTATCGTGTTGGACTTTCGCTCACGTGTGCGTGAGCGGGTCCGACATCTATTGACAACATTTTTTGAGGTCAACAGAAGTAACAAGACTTTTCGATATTTTATAACCTTACTAAAATTATTTTTTACAAATTCAATGTAAGATTTTAAAAAATATAACATATTATGTAAATCCCACTCACAACATAAATCATCCCTTAAAGAACAAAAAAATAGATAATTATAAAATGATGCTAAGATGTTAGATAAGACATATAAAGTGTGGGTTTTTTTTTTCTTTTTCTTTTCTTTTTTTTAATTTCCAATAAAAAAATATTTTATCCATTCAACTATGTGAATCTTTCAGCAAAAACTATAAACACTATGTAAAGTGTAATTTTGTAAATTTCCAATAAAAGAGATAAACAAAAGAAATAATGAAGTGCAAGTTAATTTTACCGACGCCTTGTGTAATTTAGAGCATGTTCGGAAGGGATTAAAATCTGATTTCAATCTAAATCAAAGTCAAACAATCAATATTAACCGTATCTTTCATGAGTTTCACAACTTTTCAACAGCACATTTTAAAAATTTCTATCACAATCTACTAAAAAAATCTAATTTTAATTCCTACCAAATACAATCTTATCATTTTGTCACCTTCACTATTGAACTTCAATTTATTCTTCAAATTAATTTTCAACCACATATATCATGGGATTCACAAAATTTATTAATTTTGCAATCACATATTTCTCCAATTTTTACCAGAACATACTAAAAATCTAATTATTTTACCTGATAGGGGCTTAGTTTCATTACTGAATTTTATGAAAAGTACTCAATTGATGATCTACTATTCAATTGGATATCCAATGTATCAAGTTAATACACTCAAATGTGAGCATATTCGTGTCCTCAAAACACAAAGGATAGAGTCATAGAAGTTAATATTAAAGAGGTTCTAATTACAAATAATGTTTTTCATTGTAAAAGCAATTGAGTGGATCAAGATAATAACACATTCAACAAAAACAAGAACAAAATTTAGAATATAAATTTACTTTATAATAATTTATCGTTGAAGAGCATTCTTCTCATAGTTATTTCTAATCCAAGATGTTTCTTGGAGGGTGGGACGTTTTGTTAATGGTTGGACTCACCTCACGTGAGAGGTCTGTAAAGACCTTGTAACATGGAGCCGTACAAAGTGGAAAAATCCCCTGCTTGAAACTGGAGTTCTTGCTGGTTTGATACGTGAGCTTCAAGGGTTTTTATTTTTCAAATCCAAAATCACGCATACTCATACATCATCGAAACGTTTGTTCCAAAAGTGTTTAACAAATTAAAGTCGAGTGGTAAAAGGTGACACTAAGGTACAAAGTTGGGTGCCTATCGGTGAAATTAGGTACTGATTCGTGCCAAACCCCTCAGCCCTCGGCTGAACAAGCACTGTACTCATTTTTCCAATAGGCAATTGTCTGAAACTCAGAAAGAGAACCTGACAGTTCAAGGAATGGGAGTGGAACAAATCGACTGCAGAAACTGGGACGAAGAAGCTTATAGGGATTCCATTTTACAGGAAAGAGAAGCACTTTCCCAAACCATATTCCGCACCGTCTTCGCCCCGACCCGTAACCCGAACCCGAATTCAGACATCATCGTCACTTCCTCAAGCGATGGCTTCGTCTCATCTTACTCCATATCCTCTTGCCTTGTAAATTCCTTACCTTGTTTTTGTAATTTTGAATGTTAACTGGTATAAGATTGAATTCTAATTTATTATTATTGTTATCTTTCCCGTGGTAGGCACTGGGTTGTGGAAATGTGAGAGGTCAGAAGTAAGTTTGTCTGAGTTGTTAGAGTTTTTATTTATTATTATTATTTTAATATATATTCACTTGTTTATTATCTGTATATACTGTGTTTTTTGGCATATGAATTGTGATTGATGAGATGATTTTTGTGAAGTTGGTTAGTGGCTGAACCCCATTGTTTGATTCAAGGGCACAATGGACCTGCTTATGATGTTAAATTTTGCGGTAATGATGAGGATTCATTGTTATTAAGGTATTAATTTGTTTTCTCGATGGATTTCAAGTTTTATTGTGCGGCAATGGTGGATTCCAAAGACACCGACAACCTTTTCACTAAATTTATTCAAAGAATTTAGAGCATTATATTGCTGGCCAAAGTGTTTCTTGACATCGATCTGCATTATGTAGCTGTGGTGACGATGGTAAGATCCAAGGATGGAAATGGAAAGAAATTTTAGAATGCGAGTTGCCCATTCAAGGTAACGTGGTTCTTAGACTAGTGATGAACTCTTCTATTTTTTTGGCAATTTAATTGTTAATAATCAGTATGGGAAAGCTAATGACTCATATTGTACCTGCAACTGAAAGACGAATTGTTTTATATTGGTATAGGCTAGTGTAAATTTTTTGTTTCTTCAAGTTGCAACTGGTGTATAAAATCATCTGTCCCTTTTGAGTGTATTTTGATAGGAAAGAACGTTCACTCTTTATTTACAAAGAGTGGAAAGTTCTGCGTAGTTCTTAGTGTCTGTGTGTTTTTCTACATGGGAAGTTCTGAAACTCTAGTGGTGATTTTAGAACATGAATTATAAGCCAATAAAAGTTTAAGTTACATAAGAATAGTGGAATACATAGAAGTAATGTTTCAAAGCCTATTTTGTAAGCTACCTTGATGCAAATTTTATGAAGTTCCTCCACGTTTGAAGCATCTCTGGAGCTTTTTTTAGCTTTCATTTGGTCAAATGATGATATCTGATAGAATAGCTCGTAGTTATATCTTTCAGCCTCTTGTATCAAGTTACTCTACCGGTCTACTTTCTTTTCATTATTTCTGCTCTGTTTTAGAGTTTTATTTATGCAGTTGCATTTAAGGAAAATCTTTACTTGGAACTTGTATTCTTGCGTTAATTTGTTATGCATTCATATTTTTTTGCAGGAGTCAAGTTGAAGCCAGTACTTGATTTGGTCAATCCACAACATAAGTTAGTCCTGAAGTTTGAAACTGTAGCATGGCTCTGTAAACTTGAAAGCCTTCTTTTTATTTGCTCCAATCCAACTCTTTATGTTAGATGCACATAAATTGCATGTCTGATATTCATCACAATCTAATGGATTTATGAAAGCCTTATATGTCTTAGTATGAGTGTGTGAACATAGAATTAATTATTGTTTACTCTATAAGACACATACCCGTGCCAACTTATTTTAACTCAATGGTTTCTATAGTTTGACATAAATCGAACTTTATTTTAGTGTTATTACAAAGCTCTTATAATTTATTGGCTCAGATAAATTATATATGATTGGCTTTTTTGGTACATTAACATCCTATCTAGCGTTCTTATGTAACAAATGACAACACTGAAGGGAAAGCATGCACGGTGTTCCTTCATGACTTATTCATGCTAGGAACTCTATTTCTTTTTCCTCCTATTGTTCTGTATGCTCTGCTGTTCCTTAGCTTTAGGCCCAGTATTCCTCAATGACCTTTTATTTTGGTTCATTCTTCTTATGATTTGTTCTTGTCATGCAGAGGTCCTTGGGGTTCACTTTCTCCAATTCCAGAAAACAATGCAATTGCTGTTGATTCTCAGGTTTGTGATCTTTTACTACCATGTACCATCTATCAAGCTGTTTTTATGATGTATATATGTTATTGAAGATCTTATCAGAATATGAGTGACATTTGGAAGTTTATGCCCTTGTTTGAGCCATATTATTGGAATGAAAATGCATTTTTGAATACTATATTGATGGAAAATATGTGGTTAAAAAATAAAGAAACGTTTTGAATTTGCGTGTAATATTATTTTATTAAAAAATGTGTGGTTGAAATGATGTCAAATCACTGTTGAAGAATGTGTTTTTTTTCAAATAATGAGGCTCAAACAAGGCCTATATGTTGTGAGATTACAAGGTTTCTACAATTCTTAAAAACTTATTTATTGAAGATGTAAACGGACAATAGCTTAGTGTTCTTGTGTTCCCTATATATCCCATTGCTTAGAAAGTACACCTTCTTTGAACTCCATCTGTCAATCTTTTTGGATGCCCTAAGTAATTTTTATGTATTCCCTAACTTAACGGGCCCTAGTTAATTTAATAGTGTTGAGATCTGTAAATTGAGCATCAACAGAGTCAATCAAATTTTCTCATATATATATTTATAGCTGAATAGAACATTGGACCTGTACAGTAGAAATTGGCATGTTCATGAAAGAGTAATTGTGAGAGGATATCCATCAACAGAATAAATCAAAGAGTTTAGAAGAAATATTGTAGTACTGAGTCATGCTCATAACCCTTTGAATCCCTGTCAAGTGAACTGCATGCACAAAATTATACAGTTAAGAAGAAGTATTTTTGCCCAGTTGGGCCCTTTTAAGTATGTGGTTCTATGTTATGCTCATAATTTTGGATCCTTGCCTTGTGAGAGTGTTGGGAATAAGGCATGAGATTTTTGCACTTGCTAGTTGCCCGACAATTACTTGCTCAAGCTCTTAATATTAAGTATATAACCTGCTGTTTCTTTGTTCTTGCTTGAGTTTGATTTAGGAATGACTTCACTGTAATTAGTATACATTAGTTTATTATTCTTTATTGGTTTCAGGGTGGATCTATATATGCAGCTGCTGGTGATTCTTGTGCATATTGCTGGGATGTGGTATGTATTAGCTGAAGGTGACTAACTTTTACTAACATATTTTGCTGGAGTTTGTATGATCTTGCTTTTCCTTTCAACTGTAATAGGTTCACATTGTGATCCAATCCCC